TTCTTCTCAGTTAATTAAAGACCCTGAGTATTGGTCTGGCCGGATTTGAACTCACGACCTCCCGCACAACAGTCCGGCGCTCTACCAATTGAGCTAACTGGGAGGCAGTTGATGTTGAGATGTTGATGTTGATGTTGATGTTCAGATGTTGAGATCAGTTTCTAGCAAAGGCTTCACTAAACTGATGCTCACCTTTATTTCCATTAACAGTAAATGGAAAGTCATAGAGTTTAAACACTCTTAGCAGCTGTGCATATGATGTCCAGGTGACTTGAGAGATGTACAAGTCTTTGTTGCCAGGCAACAACTTTATAAGAGCTGAACAGGATCCTGAGCCAAAGACATGGTGGACTTTCTTCTTTCCCAATGCCTGCTCCAGAGCAAATAGGTCACCATCAGCTTGTATAAGGCTTCCAAAAAACAATTTAGATATGATAATTAATTGACATTTTAAAATTTAATGCACTTTCTGTATGCAGTTGTTTCAGTTGACAAATATCAAAGACCTGGGAGAACACTGCAGAGAAATTAACAAGAGCTGCCACCTTCCCAAAGAGAATGTGACTGAAATTTTTGTAAAGATTATTACAGGGAATGGTCTATAATGAGGGTTTGGAAAAAGGAAACATAAGGGCTTCTTTCTGGGGTTATTTTACATTAAGTTCTATGGGGTCAACTGCTTTTGAACTGAGGTTCATGGGTAATGAGAACCTTGAAAACCACGCTGCCACCTGACCCCCCTCTTTCTCAGTTGGATTTGTCTGGAAATTTTTTCAATGTGTTTACAAGTCATGAGTTTAATCAAAACAACTTACAGGAATCCTAGATCATCAATAGAAGGAACACCTTTGTTCAGCAGATAGCCTTCCTTTATTCCCTCAAACTGCTGCAGGATCAGGTTTATCTGCAAAAGAGAATCACACACAACTGAACAACTTGTTTCTTGATGCAGCAAAGAAAGATCTGATGTACACTGAATACTTTTGTAAATCAAAGGAGTTGAACCTATGGGTATATCAATCAAAGGATTAACAAATAAATACTAGTTAGCAGCTAAAATGGATTTATCAATAAGGCTGGTTACAAAAATAATAAATGAGAAAAATGACATTGAAAATAGAACCAGGTCAAGTATACCCCAAAGAATCTGTTCATGAATTGATAGTTTAAATATTGAATTCACATTTAACATTAACATCAAATTTGGAAATCTATATTACAGCAGGGGTTATAAGCAATGGATCTAAGTCAAAGTGAATTGTGTAACCAACCTAACCACACTTTTCTAAATGAATAAAGGCTGATAGTTTCTAAAGAAACTGTTTGGGGCTGCATCGGTGAGGGTAACGAAATAATTTCAATATATAAACAAAGTTGAAATGGTAAATTGGCCACCATTAAAATTTTAAAGCTGACGTTTCGAGCGTTAGCCCTTCGTCGGAGCGAATAGAGGAATTGTGGGTTGTGTGTGCTTTTAAAGGCAGAAAATGGAGCTACGTGATTGGTTGGAACATGACAACGAGAAAAACAGAAATAAATTAGTGGAATGAAAAGTGTTTGTTGATACCTGTGGGATT